GTGGGTATGACTTTGCCATCTGTGAACTTCCAACGCTAGAATCGCTCCAATATTGTTGCCGCGAAATGTGAGCCATTCAGCATCCCATCAACTGCTACTGGAAGAGGCGGCAATGTTTTTATTTGCTGCTGTGATACGCTTTCCTACATCCCACCGGTTCTCTCTTAAATCACTTTTCGATTAAATTGACACCAATACCCGAGACAAAAGCAATCGTTTACATTTTTCTGTTGTTTCTTATAAGCAGCAGGTAATGACTGTGTTACGCTTATCCGAAGAGTCGTCTATATGATTTCAAGGAAAGACGTTCAAACATTTTTCTGAATAAAGTCCCCTGTGTCTCAGGCGTGTGCAGAATGAGCACACTTGATCCTCTGACGCAGTTCTTTTGTGTCAAGATAGATCTACTAGCCGCCGACAAATCATGGGTTCGGTAGCTTATATGGTACGAGCATAGGATTTGTTACTGCTAGATAATCCGCTGGATCCGGTGTGATAGTATGACGGGTTGATGGAAGACAAGGGATACAGGTTCGGGAAACTTTCAGCTTGCGAACACGGCTTCGTCCAATGCATTAAAACTTGGCCTATTTACCTGGAGCCCTGAGCATTCTGAAACATTCAGGCTTATGGCATATCGATCATGGATTGGCCGATTTTTGCACGAGGATCCCATCGCGCAAAAATCTCGTTCATTCGACCGGCTATTGAATCGGCGCAAGCGTGAAAAATGGTATCACAAGTGCTCGATGCTGCAAGCGTACGCTGATTGACTGTCTGGTTTAACGTGCGCATTCCGCGATCGACTTTGTCTGCTGTAGGCTTTGTGGTTGTCTTTTGGCCCTAGGCCATGACTACACACTTTTTTCCCTAACTTCTGGGTTCAAGCCCCGGGTAATCCTGAATCTTGCCTTGGGTTGGGTCTGACCGGTGACGAAGGGTTAACGAGCACTGATCATCCTAGCTTCCTAACACCTCAGTTCACTAGGCCCTTTCTTGTCACCTGCGAATGCCATAGGCATGAAGTTCCCAGGCGCAGTAACATCACCAATGGATGTCATTTCCATGTAAAAAGTAGGCAGCGAAGCTCCGGAAATATAAAGCGGAACTTCTCGGGAAATCACTAAAACACCAGAAGCCGGAGATATTGAATTTATATTCTAACGGCTGCTAGCGGGGCTTCAGAGTGAACTCCAAGGCACAATGGGACGATAAAGTCTCGTGTTAGACCAGTAAGCGCCAATCTACCATTGTTAGATAAACGGCCTTTGATAAAAAAAAAGTATGAAAATTTGTGCTAGGTTCCTTGAAAGCAAATAATGTTCATTTAAATGCCCAAACTCAACCTTCAGACACATAATTGTACAACCAATTAATCTAATTTGCACACCCAGAGGTAATGCGGACAAATAAACAACCGAAGTATAATATATGAATGGCTTTTCAAAAGCCATTTTTTGCTGATTTATGAAATAATTGCTCCAGGAAATATATTGTATAGCATTGCAGCCAGCCGGCTGATGTTGATCAAAGTTTTATCAACTATGGTGGAAGTTCTTTTCGCCCCCAAATTGTCTCGACACTTCATCCGTTTTTACTGACTTTGGTGAACAGGATCTTGTTTGAATTTCTCGTTAGATAGATCGAAAAAGGATAAGTTATGTCCAGATCCTGGCAAACTGTTTTCTTAGTGCCCATGCGTGATGAAGTGGCCCCGTAAATATTGAAACGCTCTTCGGTAGGACTGTCTTTAAAGGTCATACTTGCCTTTACATTTTGCAGTAGCCCAACTTTCCTTTTTTCGTTAAATCCCGCCAATATAGCGTCGAATTTCCCCTTTACCGTTAAATTCCGCCAATATAAAGTCGAATTCCCATCAATAGGCATCAGTTTCCTGAGCAACAGGAGTTTATATTGATAAAGTTGGTTCTATCTAGATCATTAAAGCAACTATACGCTGCTTTACTTTAATATTATTTGACCATTTTCAACAATTAAGTATTCATTTACACTCGTTAACCAAGAATTAAATGTTTAACCACCAATTGCCTGGGGGAATAGATATTTACGCGGCCCTATAAGCCAGTTTTACCCGCTTTTAAAACTACTCATATCGTACGCCTGTCCCACTTTCCAACAACTCATTTTTGGATAGACAATTTAATTTCCTTGTTCATTTTTCGTCACGCCAGGCCGCCTTCATAGCCGTCAAGTTTATCTCACTTCTTCGGGAGCTCAAGGCATGTGGCACTAGTCTCTCGATCCACAAACTCACCTCCGACCCGTATGCCAATAAAC